GTAAGACCACCACTTAATTTAGTGGACAGATCTTTTTTTAAGAGTTGTGTTAATTAGGCTCTTTGCTCCCATTTTGACCTAATGTAGGTCTTTTTCAAACAAGCACACAGCATAGGCAAGCACAGGCAGCTTTGTGGAGGAGTGAATAGGGCTCCAGACCTGGCCCAGAGAGGGCTGTGGGTTCAGATCTCCAGTGGGAGGCTGTTGTACAGCTGAGCACGGTTCTTCACTTGGATTGTTCCAGTAAATGCCTTGCTTTGTAAAGGGGTCTTCAGCTCATCATTGTAAATGGAGTTTTTTTCTCTAATGACTAACCTGGTAAAATAAAGGAATGAAAAATTATGAGTTTTAATAGAGGGCAGCGTGGTGGCACAGTGGTTAGCATTGCTATGAACACAAGATTCAGTTCCTGGGGTGCTATCTGCATGGAGTTGACTTGTTGGCCCCATGTTCACTGGTTCAATGGGTTTCTGCTTGGTTCTCTGGTTCCCTCACACAGTCCAAAGACAGACATACTGGAAGGTTAATTAGCTTCTGGGAAAATTGGCCCTGGTGTGTTTGTGTCTGTGTGTGCCCTGCAATGGCTGTATCCTACCTTGACACCATTGATTGCCGAGATAGGCTCAAGGTACCCCACAATCCTGTATTGGATAAAGCAGTTACAAAATGGATGGATAGCATATTAATAGATACAGTATGTTACTAATATAATGTTTTGTTCAGTTTAAAAGGCTGTTTTTAGGCCAAATAAGTGTATAAAAAATAATTTTAACTTGAATTAACTTGAAACGTAACAGTAGTGAAGTACACCAGCTAAAGAAAATACTATAGTATGCATCCATGATGGATTTTAATCTTGGTGATGTTGGAGACCAGTTAGGGATCAGCTCCCTGGTCATAACTGCTAGCCAAGGCCTCACTGATATGCCTTGCTGCAGGATTTTGGCTGCTGATTTGTTCCAAATTGTTTCTCTACAGGGACAAAAAGCTGTATGGGCTGTCTGTCTCCACAGCTGTGCAATAATGAGCCCTGAAGTTGGCAGCCAGGGTCTGTTTCGAGCTCCTGTTGCCATATCAACCTTTCATTTCTCTTTAAAAGTCAAATTTCGGAGGTGCGAATTACATTGTGTAGGTAGAGTGTGAGGTATTATTAGGGTTCGGCAAACAAGCCATTTGGGACACCAGAGGAATGTTTTTTTAATATATTTGTTTTCATTTTATTTGAACTGTGTCTAAGCAGGGATTGGGGATTTAACGAGATGAGGAACTCTTACTCTCCCATTAAAAGGTTGAACATTAACAGCATTTATTTCTCATCTGTTGTGGTAGAGTCCCCCTCTTAGGAGAAAATATTAGGGAGGTTTGTTTGAATTGCCTGCACCCTTAGCCCTAAAGTGCCAGAACAGAGTGCATCATTGGCTTCCCTACTAAATAAACATCTGCTGTTTCTCTGCTAAAAAACCCAAAGAGCTAATGCACATTTATATAAGGTATTTAATGTCCGGAGAATTAGGAAAATAAGCATTTGTTCCAATTGCTTTTGTGTGCAGGTGGCATGATAATTCCTCTGAATTAACTTTGTGATATATGACAATACAAAAGTGTTTCAGTTTGAAGCTGCTGTCTTTGTGTTCTCTATGAAAGAGCCTTGCACATAACAACCTTATTATCAGACGACCTGACCTGCAGTAAGTTTGTCATTTTCAATTCTAGTATTTAATAGTACTGTTCAAGTAACAGTAGTACTGTATGATGATTAAAGCAAGGCTATACGTTGTTTTTTTTAACAAAACACTCAGCACTGAGAATTGAGTCGTTTTGGATGAACACATGACATCTTATGAAATGATGTACTAGTTTGGGGTACGACATGTTATACTTTAAAAGTATACATTAGTGATGGTTATCCACCTATCCCACGATTTACAAACATCCTTTTCTCAGAGAATTATGCATTTTCATAACTTGTTTTTTTGTAGTTTTTAAATGTTTTGTGCTACAATGAACGCCCATGCTTTGTAGTCAAATGGAAAACATCATTCTCCAACTGCAGTCTCCCATAACAGTTCCTCAGTGTGTCTGCATTCTTAGAATCTTTACACAGTTTATTCATTTTGTTAACTACTATGCTAAGGTGAAATAGGGGAATCGGACACAAGCAATTTCTTTGACTATTCAGTACTTTGTTAAGGTAAAAATAATTAATATTGGGTAATAAAGTTTAGATTTCAGTAATTATCACATTTTTAAGGAATGAATTACATCCATCAATCAAGGGAAAAGTGTATTAACAATGTTTGTTTCTCCTTTGTGCAGTTAACTCTGGGTATACAATACACTGGATAAAAGTAATGTAGAATGTGGAATTCACTGGGACAGATTGCATTAGTACAGGTTTGTCAATTGCCTCACTAATTTTCTAAACATAATAAACAATATTAAAAATGTTTCCTAGAATCTGTTATTATTCCTTAAGACCTAGTAAAGTAAATGTTGAATCCAGCTAGCATGGAGATCTGTTCAGAATATAAATTGGTATAGGAAGAGCTCCCCTTCAATGTCTATAATGAAATTGAAGGGTCATCAAACGTTTATAAGAGTTGCCTTAAGTCACCTTTACTGTACCCCCACCTCCTATCTATATGTTCTCCCTAAAACCTTGGCAGGTTATTAGATGTGAGCTTCCAGAATCTGAATATTAAAATCATTATGAGATTAATTTTTATCCATCCTTGTTTTGTCTCATAATTCCTATCTAGTGAAGCATCCCGGTTATGAACTGAACGTAAGTTAACTGGGAGTAGCTATTTAGATCATTAGCTTTGGTATTTTGGTTTCAGTTCACAAAAGAGACCAACCACCACTTTCTTCACTAAGTTTAATTCAGAATGGGACCTAAAAAAGAAAGAAATGGGTTCCATTTCTGTAGGAATGGGCATCCGTATGATTAGGTAAATCGTGTAGTTGCTAATAAAAATCATACATGTATAGCATCACACTGGGATTTAATAGCATGCCCTGTATGCTTTTTATTGCCGTGCTGTACTTGAGGATGTGGAATGATTTAATACACTGTGATTCTTTTGCACAAGACTGATTGTAAAAGTAGCAACTTAAAAGAAACAATCTGAAAACTACCCTAATCACCAGATTTGTCTGCGCTTGCACTCCAGGCATCCAAAGTGGAGCTCAGAAACCTCAAAGGTTGTTTTGTTTGCTCCCACCCCAAAAAAAATACCCTTCCTTTGGCATCAGCTGACTACATGCATTTATTCCTTTGACGATGAAACAATCTTCCTGGGCTGGCATTTCTTTTTTTTTTTTTCCACATATGCCTACATTGGTAATCGTTGAGAGAAGTTAATAAAACAGGTTGGAAATGAGGTGTTTGAGAACTGTAGTCATCACCACCATTATAAGGGAATAGGTTTCCTAAACGTTTCTTTGTGAATGTGAAAGAGGCTGTGTGTGCAAGGGCTTACTGGTGCTGAATTCTTATGTTTTTGAGGACAGCTTATTGGAGAGCTCCACCACTGTGCAATCTCAGAAACGTCCTCCTCTAGGAGGTGCATTGCAGTGCATTGTGAATAACTTTTCAACTCTCTGCACCTTCCTTTTTATGTTCATTTTTATAAAGACATTTAGGCAATATTTTCTGACATCTGTGTGCGTGCTGTATCTGCTTTTTTTTTTATTTTGCCTACCTAGGTGTTTTCAGGTCAAAAGATCCCTTTTGAGCATATTTTTCAAATCTTTCTAGGATCATGCTTACATGATTGTTAAAACCTCCGCTGCATATTAAAACTCAGTCTCCTTTGCTGAAGGAGAAACAGGACATTGCTTATAGAAATGTGCTGGTGAGGACCAGTTGAACAGCCTTGTAAGCAGTGTCTTTGTGGTCACACTTGAGAATCCCTGCTGGCTTCTGAATCTTTCCGAAAGACTGTCATCGCATCCTTAGTGTGATTAATGTTCAGAGGAAGTTGGTGGTCAGACAGCTCTTGTGGCTGCAGGTTTTATTGTGGGGTTAACAGTGTTGTAGGAATGTAGGCCCAGTGACAAATCCCTTGAGCACACTCACAGTTCAGGTATGGGCCTGTGCCACAGAGCTCGATCACAGGTTCGCAAACAGCTCACTGTCTGAAAAACCTTGTTTGCATACATTTCCTGCTTTGTTGGTGTGAGAATCACTCCCATCATTACCTTTGTACTCCAATAGGTTTCAGCCTTGGTCTAGTAGGAGCTCTGTGTGTTCTGGTCTTTGTGTCTGAAGTCTCAATTATTAATTGGAGTTTCTTTATCAGACCAATTCATAATTACATTTTACTATTAATATTACTACTAGGGTTAAGGTGACAGCTAGAGTATTTTGAAGCAAACTTTAAATACAAACCCCAAGACACCAAGCTCCTCAAAAACCAGGGGTGAAAACCAATTTGTTTCAAACTATGTGTTTCGGGAAGTGTTATCAAAATGTAGAAAATAGAAATAATACAACTGAGATTTATTAGAAATTAATAAGGACATAAGCCTAAAATAAGTAAATGAAACAATGATAAACATTTTCTTTAATAAAACACAGTGGAAAACTGTGCACAGTTTGGTTGAATTCTTCTGAAGCTCTGTTGGTCCATCGATGCATACTCAGGTAAAAAATGTAAAATGGACAAAACCTTAGTAGTATGATTTGAAAAGCTTTTTGCCCAGGGTAAAATTTTGCTCCTTTCTTTTCAACTTTCTTAAAAACTTTTCAAGAAGAAAATGTTTTTTTTACAATTATGAGATTATGATGTCCCTTTCTGGACTTAAAAAATTCAAATTAATTTTCTAAAAAACATAGAAATACTTGGAAAGACATCTTTTTATGGAAAATGTGCTTTTATTACACTGTGATATATTCCTGTTACAGCTCAAAGCCATTGGTTCCACTGTAACACCAATTCACCACAGAAGGACTCAGTGGAGCTGACCTCTGTCTCATCTCCTTTTTTGTCTTTTAGACACAAAACCGGATGAAGCTGATGGCCGATAACTATGAGGACGACCACCTGAAGGCCTCTTCACATTCCGACCAGACTAATCACAAGCCCTCTCCAGATCAGGTACCGTAAGATAGTGTCAAGGTTCACTGCTTGAGCCAGCGAGAGACAGCACATTGTGGTCTCATTGAGAATCTCATTGCCCAAGCCACTCCATCAATATTTGTAAGGCACAAAAGAAATACAGCAGTTTATTGTTTGCGATTATACTGTTTGTCCTTTTTCTACGTGTAAAAAAGCATTATTTCATGGTGGTTAGTCTTTTCGCTAAAAGCTTAATAATATTTTACAACAGGACAGTAAAGTATGAATAATGGGTCATTGCTTCTTTCACACCTAATAAGATAAAGTGCACCCTGCTATATTTCTATTAGTTTTTAACAATAAGATGAAAAAAGGTTCTTAACTTGGGAGATATAAGAACGTTTACATTATAACCACAGTGTCTTCCTCATTCATTTTTGGAATAATGGTGCATGTTTTTTGTTTACTTCCATCATTTACTGTATATTCGAAGTCTATATTTATAAAGCTGTGTTGTTTATTTAAAATAGTGTTAGAACAACTATAGGAAATAATTTCCTATTGTTGCTAAATTAAAACAAAGTGTTGAACTTGCTATGATAACTCTTAAAATAACATCTAGAAAGATTTATATGACACATTTCCCCACTTTCATCTTATATTTAATGGGGCATGGAACAAAATTAGCAGCCCATGTAACAAAATTAAGTTACAAAATTAAATTTACAAAGGTACACTAAAAGAAAAACTGAAGTCATGTAGTGTAAGGTTAGAATCTAAAACTGAGTTACAGAAATGCCTTGCGTAGTGCTGATGATGTATTCAAGAGGAAGCATTCTGGGAATCAGTGCTAACACAGGTAATTACGAAGGCTTCATTGGTGTATCAGTAATGGCATTGCTGATATTTATACCACAGAATGTAATTAAAAAATCCATTATATACAGTAAGGAGTTTGTTAAAATTATAGTTGCAGAAGAAAACAAATCCACTCAGAGCTTGTGTAGATTAACCACGATCTGCCTTCACTTCTGCTAATAGGAGGAGCTACTGTATATCTGCCAGGATGAGCTAGGCTGTGGCCATCCTGGAGAGAGACGTATTTTTGATAAGTCTAGTTTTGAGCATTCTTTTTAATGTGTGATTACAAATGGCACTGTCCATAAGTTAACATACATATCATATCAGACTATCATTGGCTGAGAGCTTACGTGCTGTTTTTAGCACTTAGCTTTACATTTAGTCTTTCACACAAATAGTGACAGAAACTCAACTACAGCCTGCGCTGAGTGGGTGCTTCTGTCTGCCCTGTGACATTCTGCAGGTGTATTTGGACTAATTAAACTAATTGCCAAGACAAAGACCACTATGGCGAATACGTTCTTAATAGAAGCAGCGCTAAGTGAGGCATTGCTGTATTTCTTTAAGACATCTGTATCAGAGACGTTTATTTATGAAGTGACATGATAGGCTAACATGAAATGCAGCTTGCACTCTATCTTTCAAGGTCATATAAAACAAAATACAGAAAACAGTGAAGCACAGATAATATATTACTGTATATTGTAAAGTCATATACTATTTTAAATTCTGATTCACATTTTTTGTCAGTCCATAATTTTATTTCCTCCAGCAGTGCATTACATGGGTCACATTCTCTCTTCTGGCTTTTGTTCCAGCTGAACCCTTTCATTACAAAATTAAACCCTAAAACTAACATTGTCTTTAATTGAGCCTCTTCATCTCTTCTCAACTGTGAAAGGGAAAGAGATTTTAAGTTACCTATATAAAGTTCAGCAACTTTAAGTGTACCACTGCTTGAAAAGTAAAATTATTTAAAATGTATCACTAAGTAAAACAATGACCATGAGTTACCTGTTACCCAGATATCTTGGGTTTAACAAGCAGTGCCCAACACTCTGCTGTTTCAGCTTTTATAAAAGTTAGTTCTGACCGAATTCTGTCCTCTATACCATATATAGTTGATCTGATGCATACCTAAATTAAGTATCTTAACCTTCTGGATGCTAACATTGTGAGGTGGAAGCATGATGTGCCAAGATCCAAAGGAGAACTGCGTCTGCATTCAGCAAAATGAGATTACAAGATTCCATCTGTATGTGACAGAATTTCCCACTATTTCCCTCACACACTAGGGGCTTCAACCCATTCCTTTTGAATTAGGTCCAAATCCCAACCTGTTATTCCATGATGCACTATAAACCATGGAACCAAGTTATGTTGACAATGCTTTATTTTGGTTTTAAATAATTTCATATGCAGTTGCATATTAACATTAAATAAGGAAAATTGAATAATGTGAAATGGCTATACATTTACCATAACCGAGATTATTAACATTTGTATGGGGGCTGTATGATGGCATGGGCAGTTACAGCTGCTGCATTACAGCCTTACAGCAACACATTCTGGGTGGAGTTTGCATGTTATCATATGTGTGTGGGCTTTCACCAGGTTTTCTTCCACCTTCTAAAGCCGTGCATATCTAAATAATTCCTGCATGTATGCACTCCATCCTCTAGACTGGTGCCCCATCTGGGGTGTAGGGCTGCTTTATGCCCTCTGCTTCAGGAATAGGCTTCAGGTTACTTCAGCCCTTATCAAGGATAAGCCATTGTCTGTTGATGAATGGCCAATGGGAACCTTCATGTGCTTAGAGATACGCCTCAGTACAACTCACTTAATCTGACACAAATATATGGGAATTCCCTTTTTACTTGGTAAATTGCACTTCACAACAAATGGCACTTTCACAGATTATGGATGCGTTTATAGTGCATCGAATTTCCCAGAGCAACCATTAGGCACAGAGGGCAGAAAAACTAAACTCACAAGCCTAATGGCTGACTTTTCCTCCAGTCATGAGAGACTGTGATGACCAGCTAGAAGTAAGATTCATTTAGTATAAGGTAATTGTTTTTTTAGTATTGCTTTTCCTGTTTCTATCCAACAAATCGTGTCATTTGTTAAATATGAATTGAAATCAAAAAGGCATCATTTAACATTAATATGCAAATGCATATCAAATTGCAATTAATGCCACACAAAATAAAGCATTACTGTTATTCCACGTGGTAGGTACTTTATCTCAGTTTCCATGAAATATTATAAACTGTAGAATTATCAGTGAAGAGCCCAGAAAACAAATGAGGCTGTATATCTAAGTTTGTTTTTTCAGTGCAGACATTTTAATTTCTTTAAAACAAAGGCCACAATGTGTGCATTAATTATGTGCAGTATTGAAGATTAGATTTCTACCTTTTTCCCAAGGAGTATATACAAAGTCAATGCCATCATTTGTAACTGTTTTTTTTATTATTTCTTCATGATAAGTGAAGGCAGTAGAATGACAAACTAAGCATGATCTCACCCAGTTTGAGAATTCAAGGCTTTTACCTCCAGCCTTACATTCATGATCAGTGAATGATGTCATATTTTCCATGTTCCTGGAGGAATGGTTGCCTAGCTCCATTTTTCACCTTGGACTTGGGCAACGTTTCCGTGATGTTGCAGAATTTGGGTGTCTATAGTTATCAATTACTAATTATGGTTAAGAACATTATTCTTTAACGAGAACAAATCAGTGAGGTTGCTCTGTTTGGAAAGCTTTCTGCTGCCTTCAGTAGAAGTCTACTTTGGAACACTTAATCTGCATATATCTTAAGCTGCAGTTTCCTTTCTCTTTGACCCTACTCTGTTTGATGAAGTATTAAATGTGACAACAACTAAGTTCACATTATGCCCTGTGTACAGTGTTTCCGTCTAATCTAATTCCTTCTAACCAGACCACCACAAATTGCTTGTTTTTCACTCTCTACTGGTAAAGCCTTTCTGGGCTGTCTATTGAAAGGAAGACTGCAGCTTAACTGTCTTTTCTCTTTAATATTCCAATGTATTACTTGTCTTACTAACCAACTCTTCTTTCAATCCCATGCTGCACTGGGCAAACTCTTGTCATCTCTCAACCAATAGGATGATGAGGAGGGCATTTGGGCATAACCAATCAGGTGCCCTCAAACACAGCCACTTTGTTCAGAAGGGTGAGCACCATTTTCTAAAACAAAGCCAAAATCACTTATTTCATTTATCCTCACCTCAATCCCCACCCTCAGCTCCCTTCCCCTTCAAATCAGATTTGATTGCTTTGTTGGCCTTTTGATTTCTGGAACAGCTTTGTGGTGTGTTTACCTTAATTCATTTAGAAATTAGTATTGTGTGATCAAGAGGTTGCTACCAACCACAGATTGGTTTTAATTGATTGTTTGTGCCTTTGTTCAATTTCCCAGTATTTGACATTGGTAATGCAATTCAGACCCTTTTCTTTTTGATTCTGGTCCTGAAGTATTATTAATTTACTGTCTGGCACATCTACCCAAAAAACACTTAAATTTGTAGCTATTCATACAGCAAGGCATTTACAGTACTAGAGTAATCTGAATGAAATCCCTTTTTCAAGTGTAGAACAGCAGAGGCACCACCTCGGATTTGACTTTACAACCTTACAGTTAACTTATTCAGTGTCCACAATGCTACTTCACATTGCTGCCTAAATTCATTGTAGTTAGGTGTGCTTAAAATGAATGAGAAGGTCACATTCCGCACTTGGTTAACCAGCAGTTCTATTGTATTCGTAACTGTCAAAGAAAAAACACAATATGTTTAACACCATACCCGTACCCCTTCAAAATCGAACTTCAGGAAAATGTCAGATGTATTGATGAATGTATTTCTTAAGAATACATTTGTGTTTGGTTCTTCTTTATCAAGTCATTTAAGAAATGTTGTCAGCATTTTTAGTTATATGACAGGATCATCTCAAAGTCTTATAATGAGGACAGTGTCATGTGATTGTGCACAAAACAGATTGAGGCCTGCAGATAGAGCTAAGGATCATTCTTACAGAAGATGCTACCAGTTCAAATAGGATTGTATATAACATAAGCTACTGTATAAGTGTTTATTGTAATATATCGCTTACATAGCAAATACTGTACAAGTTATAATGTTTGTGTTTCGTA